CCCAAGTTAGAAGGGATCCATAAGGATCATCAACTCCAAAAGTTCATCCAGGGACCAGAGTGGAAATTACAGCCACACCACGGTGGGCTCTGAGCTTTCCTCCACCATCAGGCTGTGTAGTCTTTAGTGGGATGAGTCAAGGGAAGAGTTGTCTACAGCCCTGCTCAGCCACGTGCGTGGTAACCTCCCAGCCTTCCTTCTGGAGGAAAGCCAGGTCTGAGCAGCAACGGTGGTCACCATGAACAACATGCTGCAACTATGAGCCTCAGGCAATGGGGACAAATAGCTGAAAATTCCTCCAAATTCACATGTCCTGGGAGGCGAGGGACAAAACAACACAAGCACACGTTATCCCCCAACAACCGCACTGCCAGCAATGGAGCATCCTCACCAAAGTCAGTGATGGAGGCAAAACACAAGGGAAAAATGCCCACATTGGTCCTGCCTTCCAGCTCCGGGAGGAACCACAGAATCATTAAGGATGGAAAAGATCACTAAGATTATCTAGCCCAACCACCAAGGAAAGCAGCAGGCGCTAGGGAAGGATGCAGTGTCTTCATCAGCAGCCCCTAACTGCCCTCCCAGGCGGTGGCTCCTGACCACCTAGCAACGCGTGCTTCAGGCTGCACGCTCCCCACCATGGACCACTGATGCTCACCCTCAGCAACCGGAGACTGGTTTTATTTTACCAACTGTTGCTATTTCTCCACGATTCAGCTGAGCTGGGTGGGAGGCCTGGGAGGTGGGAGTGCGGCGTGTCTGCCAGGATTGTGACAAGGTTTGATGGCATGTTTTATAGCAGAGCCTGCCAGGAGGAGCTCTGTCTCGTCTCAGCACTCGCGGCACGCCAGGAAGGTACTGGAGGCTTCCCATGCTGTCATTAATTTCTAATTATGCCATCAGTTGCTTTCTACATTATTGCTTATTTACCAAACACAGCTTTATTGTGACGTCTAGTTCCTTATAACTAGCAAACCCATTGTTATGCTAAAACGAATGTTCTAAATGTTATTTATTATTTGATAAACCTTGTGTAACCCTGAATGAGGACATTAAATGGCAAGAACACTACTTCAAAATCCCATTTTAAATAAGTCACCAAGACAGCTATGCCTTTATAAAACACATTAGAGTGGCACTTGGAGCACATATGGCTCAGGGATATATACAAATTATACAATTTCTGTCATTTGGTCAAATAAGAGGGACGTTTTGACCCCAGAAATGAGTCAAATGCAAGTTGTAATTCAAGCCCCACCGGAGGCCCTGCTGTAATGCATCCTGACGGCTGATCAAGGAGCCCTGACCATTTGACCCAGCAGATCAGCGACTCACTGTATCTATTATGGCTAATACAGACCCCAGCTTGAAGATGTATGGAGATAAACAGATAAAGGGCAATAGACACAATAGATAAATGTTGATTTATCCACATCCAAGCACACATACATGTGCAGATGGATTCCATGCGTGCAGGAATGGGCAGGCATGTGTAAACTCGTGCTAACATTTGTAAAGGGACACATCTGAAAACAGATGTGTATGTGTGTGTATGACAAATCTAACCCTTCTTAACTCCATTTCCCCCAGTGCACTCATTCAGCTGTGCTCCTGCTGACTTGCATACAACAAGAGAAACCCCAGCTTTCCTTTATGCCACATAAAAATATCGTGTCAAAATTAATGAGAATATGTTAAACACCCACAGACACAGCAGCGGGGTCCTTGCTGTGCTCTCAGCCACAAAGGAAAGGAGCTGCTTATGGCAAAGCATCCTTGAATAAATGACACTGGTGTGTAACAGTGTTTGCACAAGGAGTTGCACAAATTAACTTGTCGGTATAGAAACCAGAGTGCTGCTCAGCTGGAACAAGGCGTGCGCAGAAAGCTCCTGGGATTAAGATCAAAAGTGCCCAGTGGTAAGTAATGAGCTCTTTGCTCCTTTGAAGCACCCACTGACCCAGGAGCAGAGAAAGGTGATGGAAAGAGCAGAAATCTGGCAAATGTACCTATCAGCATGACAGCATTCATGGGATCCACACATCTCAAAGACAAACCCACCCACTCCCACCCAACTGCACATTCTGCCCTATTTGAAGTTACTTCCCCCATCAGAAAGGACTCGATGAATGCCTTCCCTTACTGACTTTGCAGGTGTTTTTGTTTCTTTTAACAGCACTGTTGCATTTCTTTCATGATACGTGGCCTGGTTGTGGTTCTGTGCATTTCTTGGGATTTTTCCTTGTCTTTGTTTGGAGGTGGGGAAGGAAAGACTGAAAATGGGCAGGGGTGAGGAATGATGCTCTGCTGATTCAGGAGACATGACAGATCCCTCACTCATCTCGGGGGTCAGATGTCCACGACTGTTTGATCAGATGTCAGCTTGCATTTATGCTCCGGCTCCTGCTGGGGGTTGAGTTACATTTCACATTTGACTCATTTCTGGGGTCAAATGTCCCTGCTATTTGATGGAACAAGAGGAATTATTTTCCCCAAGCAGCCTGTGCTGGCGCAGGTACGGATCTGTCAGTGTTCTCATTGTGTTTTAGGCTCCTGCATTTCTGCATTTAGCTCTCAGCTGAGACAAACCCCTTTGGGGATGAAAACAAGAAACGTGGAGTACAGCACGCAAGCAATCACACAGAAGAAGATTAAGAGGAAAGCAGATCAGCTGGCTTTACACTGCTCATGGCAGTTTGTTCATACAAGTTAGCAGCTCAGCACTGCAGGAGAAGAAGGAGAGGGAAGCCATCATGCCTTCTCCCCCTGCCATGAGAGGCTCCTTAGGATGAAGACTGTGGAAGTGGCTGTGAGAAGCTGATGCTGGGATGCTACAGCTTCACGATGCTTTCCAGGGACTGCTCAGCACCAGAGCTGCCCTAACTACAGGCTCTGCAGTGGCAAAATGAGAATAATCTTATCTGTGTGATGGGAAGGGATGGCTCCAGAGCTTAAGCAGTTGCTGTGTCTCTGGATGAGAAATGTAAAGCATTACTGTGATAGACAGGAGCTATTTAAATGGGAGGAGACATGGTAAACTGAATTCTGCTTTCCACCTAACTCTCCCTATATATTATGAAAGAAAAATCACCAGAAAATGCAAAACTACAGACCCAGAAGCAAAAGGCAAGCCCCTATAACCCAGAGCAGTGTGAACATCCAGCCCTGGTAAAGCTCCATCTGTGGTGGCCGTGCCTAATGGTGCACACTGTGACTGAGCAGCTCAGGACCACGACAAGGGGAAAAACATCATATCCATCAATTACGGTTTGCTGGCTCCTGTAATTAGTGTGCAGGACATGTCTTTATCCCCACGAGTGCTGCGGACCAAGCACTGTCCCACATGTGTTGTGTGGGCATCCAGAGGCTGATGATTTAGCTGCCTCTCAAATGGGGCTGTGAAAATGCTCTCCCGCTGTTTAACATACTCATTCAGGTTCCAGCAGGTTGAGCAAACAGTGAAAAACATCTGGGTTCCTCATTTCATTAGAGGCGCTGTATTATTAGGAATAAAGTCATGACCAGTGCTATGAAGTGCTCAGTGGTAAACAGGCACTGATGTGAGCACACACAGGGGATGTGAACTGATGGTGATGATGGGAGAAGTCTCAGAAGGAGCACGAGAGGTTCCTGAACTCCCCACCACGATGCTCTCCACCTTGGGGCACAAAGCAGTCCCAGACACACAGTCACCAATCACCCACAGCTGAACCCAGGGCATAGTCCAGAGGAGGGAAAAGCAGAATGGAGAGTAACCTTAATTAAGTTCATTAATTGCTTTGTAAAGAAGCTGCTGCTCATTTCTGATGGTGCCATCACCTGTCCAGATGCTCTGGGCAGCGCAGGGTGGGATGAAGCTCAACCCCAACTTGGAGCACCCTGGGGCCACCCTGTTCCCTTCTGCCTTTACTCAACCTGTGCTACCACAAGCAGTGCCTGGGTTGGTTGGCATGTGTTTGAACAGCTGAATCACCTTAGAGTGCAAAGTTTGCAGCTCCTTTCCCACTCTTGGAAATACTTCTTGCACAAGGACAACCCTCCACCTGTGTGGTCTCACACTCTAGGAGGATGAACAACAGGTTTTCTTCCTGTTCGACATACAGATGTTTTTTTTCATCATAGGTACCCAAGTTAGATATTCACCAGTCTCCTAATTTATAGCAATGCTATATTGCTACAAATTGCTAAAAAAGGCAACTCCCAACCCTGGCAGCAACTGACATCTCACCCTATGCAGCTCCAGCAGCATTTTGGGGATAGATGGAAATCTTCACCCAGCTGTCTTTCATGGCCTTGCACTGCACTGAGTTCACAGTGGACTCATCAGAGTCTGCGCTGCACACAGCTGTGGCAAAACAACAAAGTGGCTCAACTCAACCCCAAAGTGAGGGATTAGATTAGAATATTAGTGACAAACTTGTGTTTTCCCTTTTGGTGAGAAGCTTCATGCCAAGGATCAGAGAAGAACACAAGTAGAACCACCTCTGACCTCCCAGTTAGGACAGGTAGGCACGTGCTGAAGTTCTCCCCTCTCCGCAAGACCTAGGCATGTGCCTATATGTATGTGCTCATCTACACACATTCAGGGTTCACTGAAGAGCCATTCCTGCTCTATGAGTCCACAAAGGCCACTGTGAGACATGAACAGCTCGATTCTGATCCTCTCCACGAGGGTTCATAGCTCCAGAACAGGAAACCTTTGACTCCTCTTCTCCCCAAGCCAGCTCACTGTCAACCTATTCAGCTGCAGGAAATGCTCTGTGTGGGGGCAGAGAGAGGCACCCACTCTACACACAGTGCTCAGAAACCTCACCTCTAGAAACACCTGCTGCACCTCCATTTACGCTGAAGGATGCTGACCTCCTCTGTGCACCCTTCTGCTGTCCCAGGAGCAGGGATTCCTGGAGATCTCCCAACACTCGAGCTCTGCATGGCCTCCGTCTCCTGGGAAGCCTCCCCCACCCTGCACACACAACCCACCCAACCCCAACAACACTTACCTGATTTGCAGACAGAAACTCCTGGGTATTGTCGTTCATTCCCATGTACATGTTCTCCCCATCAAACTAGAATGGCAAAAGAAAGTTAGAGTTAGAGAAATGCCATCTGTGTGCCAGGGTTATGTGCTTTCCTGGCTCTTTCCAGAGCCAAGATTTGCAGAATGAAATCCTGGGCTGGTCCTCCTGTACTTCTGAGCGTATATGAGCTCATGAACATCACTGATATTGCAATGGGATGTGGTAACATAGCATGGTTATGATAATTCTTTCAGCAAAGTGAAAGAATGAGTCACTCCAATTCAAATTAATAAACCAAAACTGTGCGAAGCTGTGCAAATTCACAGATTCACCCAGCAGCAAGCAGCGCTGAAATGAAGTTCTGCCTAAAATTCCCACTACACCATCAGTGAACTATGAAAAGACAACTTCCATCAGTGGAAATTTCCAAGACAGGCAGGTCACCTTCAGTCCTCTTCCAGACACCCATGTATCCCTTTATCCCCAAGCAGACACAGGATGTGCACAGGGGGTTCAACCCCAGGCCCAATTACCATCCTCACAGTTTGGTGCTCTACGCAAACTCCAAGTGCAAGATGACATATTTCCTCTCCTACTCCTCATCCCCTCCTGCCTGCTGGGGCTGCATCTCTGTGAATGGGGATCCAGGAGCACCCTGAGTACGGTGTGTTCCCATGGCTGCTGCAAGCATGCCTGCCTTCACCTGGTTCTGAGCTGCTAGATCCAGCCATTTGATGCTAAACCACCACGGAGAGCTGCAAAACTCTTCTCGTTAATTATCTACAGCTGATCACTTGCTCTGGCTCCAAATGAAGGAAAAATGCCACCTAGAATTGACTCAGAGTGTGGCTGGAGCAGTTCTGGAGGTGAAGTTCACAAATTAATTATGGCAATAAAATGGGATATGCTGTAAAACACTCCTGAGACAAGGATGGAGGTAGAACTGTGAATGACACCGTGCACTTAACAAGGGGAAGAGCCAGCCCTCTTGCCCTTACAACTGGATGATGAATTGCAGATTGTTCACCCTGTACTTGTCCCTTTGCTCTCCAGTATGAGGCTGACAACCAGTTATGCCTTAACAGAAACGGGCCACATTAAGGCCAATAAAAGAGTAATCTAAATAAAGCCAGGTGAAGGCTTTTGCGCAGGCTATTAATTACACTTCCATTTCTCCGAGTGCTGCTGAATTAGCTATTAGAGTCTGCAGAGTTAGCAAAGCCCTGCGTGGCATCAGAGTGCACAGACACCTCTAATTGCTGAACCCTCCTCTGGGACAGCACAGAAAACCAATTAAAAACAGAAAAATTACAGTGATTCACCAGCTAACAGCAACTGCAGTGGGATGGAGGGGGATCCCCACACGTGTGCGGGATTCCCTATGACCCCTCGGTGGGGAAGGAGCAGCAGGATGCAGCAAGCACCAGCATCCCTAAGGGCTTTCCAGGACCAGCAGCAATTCCAGAAGAAAGACACACTGAATGGAATTTCCCTCCGTGTGTAAAATGATTGCCAGCACAGCCGCTGCTGCTAACGCTCTCCCAGCTGGAGCTGACGGCTTTCCTGGTGTGCAGACTCAATCAGCTCCGCAGTCTAAAAACCCTCTGCCAGCCCAAGTGGAGCAGGCTGTGTCTGCAATGGAGATGACACAAGGTGGTGGAAAGGCTCAGCACTGACAGCACGGCAGCAGCATCGGCTGTGGGGAGTCCATCTCTTTGGAATGGGGAAAGCGATGGACAAGGCGTCTTCCACTGCAGGCTGCCAGGGCAAGGGGAGAGCTCTTCTTTCTCCATCCCATTCTATTTCTCAGATGTTTTTTTTTTTTTATGGCTTTTACTATTCCTACCTCCATTCCACACCTCCTTCTGCCCTTTGTGCCTTTATAATAACAGTAATGAATCCTTCCTTCAAAATTATGGTGGCTCTCATTGCCACCCTGAGCAGTGAGCCTGAAAATCAAGGCTTGAAATACCACTGGAACTTTGGAAGTTCCCCGGTGCTGATTTTGTTCCATATCTCCCAGGTTATGAAGGTGCAAACAAATTCATTAGAAATTCTCCCATCAGAATATCTTTCTCAACTAGATATTTGCCACGTACCCAGCAGCCAGGTGGAGCAGATGAGCAATGTGCTCTCCCACTTCTCATCATCGATTTGCTACAGAACACACTTCAGAAAAATCAGCCCCATCATTCCACGATGATTTACAGCAGAAATGGGCATTTTCATAGAATCATAGGATGGCCTGGGTTGAAAAGGCCCACAGTGCTCATCCAGTTCCAACCCCCTGCTGTGTGCAGGGCTGCCAACCACCAGACCAGGCTGCCCAGAGCCACATCCAGCCTGGCCTTGAATGCCTGCAGGGATGGGGCATCCACAAAAAAGGATCTCAAGAGCTCTGCATCATTTTAATATGTCCCATTGGTTCCAAACATTTCCTCCCCATTCACCATGCTCCAGGTGCAGCCATTCTGCACTCTGACCCCAGATTCATCACATCCATGCTGAATGATGCACGTGTGTGGAGTAGCAGTTATCTTTTTCAGGTCCTTGCTAAGTCCCAAGGAGTCTGCTCTTGTGCTGCTGTCTTAATCAGGTCCTTGCTCTTTTGCAGTGACTTCACTTTTGCTGTTCTTCTGTTAACAGAAGCAGCCCATTGAGCAAACTGGTGGCTGTGGCTAATCCTCAGCCCTCCTGCATGGACTGCCAATGAGCAGAGGGAGCTGTGAGTGCTCTGCGTTTGAAGCCCATGAGTCTGAAGCCCACACAGCCAGAGCTGGGACCCGGAGCAGTGGGGATGATGCGCTGTGATCCAATGTCACACCATGACCCAACATCACACTGTGACCCAATGTCATGCTGCACACGGGGGCTTCTCCAGGCCCCACAGCGTTGTCAGAGCTGTAGACAAGCCCAGGAGTCACACAGGGCACATGTTAATAAGATGTGAGAAAAACAAGAGGCGCATGCAGTGAGCTGGGGCAGCCCCAGGGCAAGCATGCTGCAGGATCGGCTCTGAGCAAACACAGAGTAAATGTTTGTTCACAGGGAGGGATCTGCTGGAAGGACACACAGCCCTGCCAAGGCTGGGGAACGTGCTACGTGTTCATGGCTGGCACTGCCAACTCGTGTAGCGTCATTACGAACCTTATCACATCCCTTTATTTCCCAGGAGCTGTGAGCTGCGATGGGAACGTCAGCTTTCAGGTTTGTAAGAAATATGTTGGAGGAGTGGCTTTGGTGACACCTGCAAGACCTCAAAAAAATTCCCAAACTTCTTGTTTAAATTTTTGTTGTTACCGTTTCCCTTTTTCCTTTTTTTTGAAGCTTAACGTTTGGTGGTGGCAGTATTAAGTTGGTCCATCCTATCTGCAAGTCAACTGGAGCTTTTAGAAAGTGAACTATTAATGCAAATGTAGCAGTAACCAAAAGCCACCATCACCGACCTACTTAATGCCCAGTGAAGAAGGAATGGGATGCTCCCAGCAATCCCTACTGCTTAGAGACACAAGCACTGCCCTCCACTTTGCTCCTCGTGCAGGATGCAGCTGCAGGTCCTCTCTCAGCCATGGCACTCTTATCGCCAAGCTGGGTGCACTGGCACAGCACCTTTCACAGCTGGGTCTCCATGTCTTCAGCATGTCACAGAGAGCAAATAGAGAACATCACAGAATCATAGATTCATTAAGATTGGAAGAGGCCTCTAAAATCATCTAGTCTAACCCTAACCCATCCCACCATGTCCATGACCACGGCCCTCAGTGCCACATCTCCACGGGTCCTGAACACTGCCAGGGATGGTGGCTCCCCAACCTCCCTGGGCAGCTGTGTCTCTGCATCACCACCCCTTCTGAAAATAAGTTTTTCCTAACATCCAACCTGAAACTCCCCTAGCGCATCTTAAGGCCATTACCTATCTTCCTATCAACAAAACAAAACCAATCAATTAAAGTAACTTCCAGCCCTGTATCCCTATGGTGACACTCTGGGATACCTGCCCCTAAGCTCAGCCCTATGGGCAGCAGCACAGCACCCAGCAGCCCCCAGCGCTGGCTTGGATGGAGCTGTCAGCACACGGCCCTGGGATGGGAACAGCTCAAAGCAGCCCTGGGATGGGAACAGCTCACTGCAGCCCTGCCCCCAGTGTGTGGCCGCCTGCAGAGCTGTGATTTCCTACAAGAATCATTTAGTATCACGCCTCTCCGGAGAATACAGGGCTGAGGTTAGCTTAATCTCTTTAACTGCAGTTTCCCCCATTAAGGTCTTTACACAACCTCTGGCCCAAAGTGATCTACTTAGCATTATTTATTTGTCCACTGCAATGCTTGGATGGCCCCTCAGTTGCTGCTGTCAGAGAGGGTCATGGGTTCAGACACAGATTTACGAACCCCGCAGGATGCTCCTGCTGTAAAGCTCCGTGTTTCCCTGCCTCCGTGCAGCCACCAGCCTCACCACCTACTGCAATGTGCTTCTGGACAAATGTCATTAGAAGGAAGCAAAGCAATGCAGAAGTTGTCAGCAGCAGTGCATCTGCAAAAGGGCTGCACAACCGACCACTGACGGGAGACAACTGGTTCTCATGAAGGACAGTTTTTTCTGTGTTATACCAAACAGTCACAGGGGTAGATCCACACGGATACAGGTGAAGGCTTAAGCCTTAAAACTATTAGAAAAAGTAGTTTAAAAACAAAACAAAACAAAACAAAACAATGTACAAATAGGATAAAACTATAGTGACAGTTACTTCCCAAGCACGGCAGAAGCAGGAGCCTACTGCACAGCTGGTGATTCCAAGGGGTGACCAAGGTACAACAAGAGTGGTCCAGAGATTAAAACCACATGCAAAAGGCTGGAATGATCTGCACTGCCTTCTGCAGATTTCAGTTGTCCCTGAACTGGAAAATCCTCCTCAGAAAGACCAAACTGAGCAACCATCTCAAAATGGGACAGCCAAAAGGGATCAACTAAAAGCAACACAACCAACCAACCAATCGAGCAAAGCAACCACTCTGAATGGCCAAGTGGGACTCAGACACCTGTGCTGCAGG